TAGGAACTGTTAACTGTGAGGTGTGACCAAAATTGCCTGAGTATCGATGTCAAGAGTCACTGCCGCGAATATCGATAGTGGCTTTAGTGACCCGATATCGCGGCATGACAATCGAAAAAAGCCAGCATGGCTGGTTTGTTTACATTTTTTTTAGAATTTACAAGTTTGCTAATAAAAATTTTCTTTTCAGGTATTTCGCGGCTTTCTGCCAACAGGATTTGGAGTTGCCGCATCCACAGGAAGGCGTCCAGTGTCGATGGAGGTGTACCAGCCAGCGGAGTCGGCGAAGTTAAGTAGCAGCAAGTTTCCAATCCACAGGGGAGAAAGTATCGTCAGAGTTTTTGCACGCTGTAACTTACAAGTCTTTTCCTCTCGTACTAGGGGTGGTTGTTGCAGCACGTGTCAGCCTCATTCAAAGCCTCTGGAGAGTCCGGATTAATGTGGTTGGATACAGCCAGCTGTAGATTAGCGACGCCAACTTCAGGAGAGTCCACCGTCGGTTGTTCGCTAATTTGCCATCGAGTTTGCTGTGAATACTGGATGCACACTGGCCCCAAGGGAGCAGTGGCAGAAGGAGCTGGTCCAGCTGGATATGATAAGAACTCGTGAGAGCAGGAGGCACTAATCAAGGATGTAGTGGAGACCAGTTCTTTTGCGTCTTCAGAACAGCCCGAACCAGTGGCCGCGGAGGATCCAGTAAAGTCAGCTCGGGGCAAACCAGTTGTAGAGCATTCAGCAGTACTGCCCAAGGAGTCCAGAGGTGCAGAAACTGGAGTGTCATTGTAAACAGTGCGTTTTTGTACGTGTGGTCGCATGTTACTAATTAAAGTCTTTTTTCCCTCGCCAGGTGGAAGTATCTCGTCTATCTGCAGATTTGACCGCTTGTCTGCGTTGGAGCTGGAGCCCGCAGCTGTACCTGATTCAGCTGATGAGTTTGGAGAGTCCGGGCTAGCGCTGCTATAGTCTTTGGCGGCGGCAGATTTCGGAGCATAGAATCCAGTACCAAGGGAGATTGCAGTCAGCTGTTGAAGAGTAGTTTGTCGCAGTTCCTGTGTGTGATGAGTCCAGTTTGGCCCCATTTCTGTTGTCCCAGACAGCGGGCGAGCTATAAAGGCTTCAAGAACGCTTGGAGCTGCAGCTTGGTGATGAATAGTGGGCGAGGGTGGAACAATTTGGTGATATTCTTCTCTCACACCAGGAGTGAGTAGCACAGCCACATCAGTTGCTGCCGACGATTCCAAGGGATCTGGATTAGCGCCGTCAATGATTTGGTCGAGGGGCAATCTTGGAGCAGCATCACTGTTGGTGTGTGGACATCTAGGAGTGACCTGTGAAACCTGTAAATTTGAGTGAGAAAAATTAGGGGTGACGGCCATGGTTTTTGGACCGCCACAGATAAATCTGTATCATATGAATCTAATAGTTCTTCTTCCAGGTACAGTTTCAGCCTGTTCAGGCCAGCTTGAAGCTGCTGCTCTGGAGTTGGCGTGCGGACCTCGGATGGTAGTAGCGGGCTCATAATAAGCCTCTGGATGTACTCTGGCTGAAACCTGATGATATGGGCCATGTCTACACGGCTAATCGTGCCACTCCTGACTGACCGTGACATGTTGTTGACCCAGTCCATCGACGGCCTTTCCTGGGGTACGCCGGTCGCTAACGCTAGTGCCTGTTTTTGCCTAGCCTGGCTTTCACGTTGTTCTATGTGCAGCTGTGCTTGCTGTAGATTACGCTGTTCGTGTTCGTGTTCGTGTTCTTGTTGTTTAAGGCGAATTAGAGTTGGAATTTGCTGCTGAAGTGTTGCCGGTGTAAACCTTTCCTCAAGATGATTAAAAAATGCTTCAGTCTTTTCCTTATTTGGATTTGTCCATACAAAGTTTTCCCCAACGTTGCCATTACCACCACAATTAGTTTCTTGTATTTTAAGAGGCCAGTTAGGCTCCGGTTTTCTTTTGAACCGGTTAACTATCCTCCATAGCTTATGCATCCTATAATGATCATTAGGATTGATATTATTAAAGATCTTGTTATTTATTTTGATTTTCTCTTCCTGCACAGATTTTGAAAATGTACGACTTGCTTGTTGGTAAATTCTTCGATTTTCTGGCGTAGGCCTAACCATGAAGTTTTGCTTGCTAATATTTTTCTGGTCTAGCTGCAGTTGAAGTCGCTGGCTAAGGATGATTTGTCCTGGTCGAAGGTTTGGGCGCGAGTTATTTTGGGACGCTGCCGCAGCCGCGCAGTAGATTTTATTATAAAGAGAATCAATAACAGGTTCGATATCATTTCCTGGTGAAATTTCTGTATTTAAGTGAATGGAATCAGATAGGATGCGTTGAAATTTTTTAACATTCGCCCTAGGTGGCAGGAGTCGACGGTTTTGAGCACCATTTTCAAAATGTCCTTCTACAGCCAGCTCAATAAAGATAGGAAGATGGTCAGATTGTAGATCTACTACTGAGTGAGTGCGAAACCTATCACTAGGTATACCTAGATAGACCGCAAAATTGATTGCAGATGGCATTTTCCTACTGTCGAAAGGGTAGTGAGTGGCACCCCCAGTTGCCAGTATGTTTATCTGATTATATGAATGAATTGAACGCAAGAGGTTCCTGCCTCTTGCACAGGATCGAACGCAGCCCCACCAGGGGTTTTTAGCATTCCAATCCCCGCATATGATGATTTTTGAGCTATTCGATAATTTCTTCATGTGAGCGAAGAACATGTTGAAGTGAACTTCTGACCATTTGTGCTGAGGTGGCAAGTAGACTGGAGCAACGACTATCTGTTCCCTATTAGCAGTTGTGATGAGTAACAGGCAACTTTGAATGCAGTCTTCCATTATGGGTTGTAGAGCAATATGTCTGAGGTTAGATTTTATAAAAACGGCTGTACCCCCACTCCTTTTAGTGGGGTGGGTGGCACTGTATAAAACATATCCATTAAGGTGGACCTCATTATTGGTGGTGGTAAGAGGGTCAAAGTTGCAATGTAGGCGAATTTCAGTAATAATCATAATATCTGAGTAATTTCTGGGATTTAGTATCACATTTCTGGCATTAGGCATGGCAAATTTCATTAACATTTATTTGCCCATTGGATGAGGCAATAAGGAGATTTACTAATTTAAAGAGGGCATCTACCTTCTTCCCCATTTCACTCACGGCTATCATGTTTTGCTGGACCAGCTGGAGCATTTCCTCAGTAGTAAGTGAGGGGGAGCCAGGGCTGGAACAGGTTTCCTTCAGCGATTTGGGTTTTTGATGGGGCTGCTGCCCGCGCAGCTGGTTGCCGCTCGTTGTAGGGGGAGACCTCGCACTGTTTTTCCTGCCGGGAGAAAAATTTTTAGGACGGGTTGAAAAAGGATTTTCCCTGAGGCTGCCCTGTTCCGCCTGTAGGCGGGCTTGAAAAACTTTTAGATGATTTTCCGCGGGGTTTTCCGTAGGGACCGTCCTTTGCAGATTTTTCTTGAGTATCTGACTGTAGGTAGCTTTGGAGGGGGTGCAGTGGAGGGGGTTACGAACTCGCGGAGACTCTACCGGGTATGTCCTGGTGCCACCTGAGTTTACCCTGAGAGTTTCCCGCCGCCTGTGCTCCATATTATTATTTTGAGGTACCGTATCCACGGCGACATGCGCACGGTGAGCCAAGAGTCGGGCCTGCGCTTTTTTGTATTCCACGCAGCCCTTGTAACTGGCGACATGGCCCAGTCCACAGTTGGCACACTTGGGATTTGGTACCCTTACTTCTGAGCAATCTGTAGTAGCATGTGAACCCGCACATTTCATGCAGACAAAGTCCCTGCGGCAGTTTGCCTTTGTATGTTCGTACTTCTGGCAGCGGTGGCACATAGCGGGTTCAAGTCTCCTCAGCTGTCGCTCAACTTTCACAACTTGGTTTCCCAATCTAGTGATGCTGAGAACCTTGTCATTTCCATGATCAGCAGCAGGTGCTAGCTCAACCTCAAATAGGTCCAATGGTTTCCGGCTACGTCGATGTTTAATGTTGCTGATATACCGGACAGAGAAGCCCATACCAGTTAGCTGGCGGCGAATCTGGTCACAGGGAGTAGAGTGGTGGATTTGCCTAATTACCACCCTGTATCCACGCTCCGAGCGTCGCTGGAAGGTATGCGTCTGGCGTTTCTCCGCCTCCAATTTTGCCAAAACCTGTTGATAAGAAAGTAAATCCTTACACAAAAGTTTAATTCGGTTTCCTTTTAAGCAGGTTAAAGAATATTTATTCCAAAGTCCCTCGATGGTATTAAGAGACTCTACTAGTGGCTGGATTGAAGAAATATTGTGTAAAAATATGGCAGGGATTTTTTCCTCAGGTACAGGGGCATCTCCATGATCCGTAAGAGGTTGCTGGTTGTTGCCTTGGATTGTCTGGCAGGGGGCCAGGCTGTCTTCCTGTACGCTGGCCATGGTAATAGGCGTTTCCGTTACACTCTGGGCATCAATCTGTCTGCAGGGCATATCCTCAGCTACTTCAAAGATGTCCATAACTTCCCTCGTCGCCTTAGACGGGGTGCTGGATACCGGAACAGCACGGGAATGCTTAATAAATGGCTCAACAGATGGATTAGCAGACTCCATTAGTTCAGCCGTCGAAATGGACCTGGTACGCTTTTTGCTGGCAAGCGAGAGAGTGGGCTGCTTCCGTTTGCTGCACTTTGGTCCAGGCTTGGACGCAGGAGCAACTCCGTTAAGGTTAGTTTTATGACTATGGGTAGATAAAGTATGATTATTTGGTTCATAGTTGTTAGAGTTAATAGCATCCACAGTGAGCTGTTCATCGGGTTTGTTGTTGTTTCCACAGATGAAAGTCATGGATTTGTTACATACGTCAACTACTTTGTCTTTATTTAGCTCCAAAGTTGGCAAGTGAACGTCAGCAATCACAGTAATTTTGTTTTTGCTGGCTTTACCCTGAGTTGGGCTCGGTGAAGAGAGGTAGTCATCACTGCTCAGGCGGCCAGCAGCAGCATTTGAAGGCATTTTTCTCGTTTTATTAGCACACTTGCACTAAAGTTTGGTTAAGTTGCAGTAGTAATTGTGGCTTGGGAACAGTTCGCCTTGCGTGTATTAGTATGTGGTGAGTTTTATTTTTTGGTAATAGGTTTTTCTTATATATTAGCACGCGCGCACCATAGTTTGGTTAGGCTGCACTAGTGTGTGTGACTTTGAAACAGTCTGTGTGTGTCAGCGTGTGGTGAGTTTCGTTTTGGCGCGGAAAAAACACGAATTGGCGCAAGGAAAATTTTTCTGCGTGGGTGCGTTACAAAGTTTTTCACAGCACAAATGCATGTATCAATGTAGACAGTTCACATACACGGTCTGTGTGTGTCAGCGTGTGGTGAGTTCCGTTTTGGCGCGGAAACAACACAAATTGGCGCGAAGAAAATGTTTTCTGCGTGGGTGCGTTACAAAGTTTTTCACAGCACAAATGCATGTATCAGTGTAGACAGTTCACATACACAGGACATAACAATTGCACTAATACATGCGCGTCAAAGTTCACATAAAACATTTTTAACAAGTTAAAATTGGTCAGTAAATTACACGTGCACGTACGAAAAACTTTAATATATTCCGTTTTTTTTTCAGTTTGGTGCCGGTGAAACGGTCACAAGTTTTTTTTCAGTTTGGTGCCGGTGGAACGGTCACAAGTAAGACCACTCTTTTCAGTTTGGTGCCGGTGAAACGGTTTTTTTTCAGTTTGGTGCCGGTGAAACTTCAGTTTCAGTTTGGTGCCGGTGAAACGGTCACAAGTAAGACCACTCTGCCTATATTCAGTTTGGTGCCGGTGAAACGGTCACAAGTAAGTTTTTTCAGTTTGGTGCCGGTGAAACGGTCACAAGTAAGACCACTCTGCCTATATGAATAGGTGTGTGGCTTAGTATTTATTTCAGTTTTTTCAGTTTGGTGCCGGTGAAACGGTCACAAGTAAGACCACTCTGCCTATATGAATAGGTGTGTGGCTTAGTATTTATTTCAGCTCGTTATATACGTTAGCTATATATAAATAGTATTTAGTGGCGTTAGCAGAGGCCTTTACAATAGTAGGCTTTAAGAGTATTTTAACAGTAGTAACATAAAAATATCTTAAAAATAAATACTGAGTATGTTAACAGGTTTTTTAAAATACTTGGAACTGTGACTAAACACGACAATTTATCGCTATCGAAATATTCTTATAGAAATAGTTGGCTTTAAGAGCTTTGTTTAACAGTGTTAACATAAAAAATAAATGCTGAATGTTTTAACAGGTTTTAAATACATGGAATTGTGACTAAACGCGACAAATTATTACTATCAAAATATTCTTATAGGAACTGTTAACTGTGAGGTGTGACCAAAAATGCCTGAGTATCGATGTCAAGAGTCACTGCCGCGAATATCGATAGTGGCCTTAGTGACCCGATATCGCGGCATGACAATCGAAAAAAGCCAGCATGGCTGGTTTGTTTACATTTTTAGAATTTACAAGTTTGCTAATAAAAATTTTCTTTTCAGGTATTTCGCGGCTTTCTGCCAACAGGATTTGGAGTTGCCGCATCCACAGGAAGACGTCCAGTGTTGATGGAGGTGTACCAGCCAGCGGAGTCGGCGGAGTTAAGTAGCAGCCAGTTTCCAATCCACAGGGGAGAAAGTATCGTCAGAGTTTTTTTTTTTTGCACGCTGTAACTTACAAGTCCTTTCCTCTCGTACTAGGGGTGGTTGTTGCAGCACGTGTCAGCCTCATTCAAAGCCTCTGGAGAGTCCGGATTAATGTGGTTGGATACAGCCAGCTGTAGATTAGCGACGCCAACTTCAGGAGAGTCCACCGTCGGTTGTTGGCTAATTTGCCACCGAGTTTGCTGTGAATACTGGATGCACACTGACCCCAAGGGAGCAGTGGCAGAAGGAGCTGGTCCAGCTGGATGTGATAAGGACTCATGAGAGCAGGAGGCGCTAATCAGGGATGTAGTGGAGACCAGTTCTTTAGCGACTTCAAAAAAGCCCGAACCAGTGGCCGCGGAGGATCCAGTAAAGTCAGCTCGGGGCAAACCAGTTGTAGAGCATTCAGCAGTACTGCCCAAGGAGTCCAGAGGTGCAGAAACTGGAGTGTCGTTGTAAACAGTGCGTTTTTGTACGTGTGGTCGCATGTTACTAATTAAAGTCTTTTTTCCCTCGCCAGGTGGAATCATCTCGTCTATCTGCAGATTTGACCGCTTGTCTGCGTTGGAGCCGGAGCCCGCAGCTGTACCGGATTCAGCTGATGAGTTTGGAGAGTCCGGGCTAGCGCTGCTATTGTTTTTGGCGGCAGCAGATTTCGGAGCATAGAATCCAGTACCAAGGGAGATTGCAGTCAGCTGTTGGAGAGTAGTTTGTCGCAGTTCCTGTGTGTGATGAGTCCAGTTTGGCCCCATTTCTGTTGTCCCAGACAGCGGGCGAGCTATAAAGGCTTCGAGAACGCTTGGAGCTGCAGCTTGGTGATGAGTAGTGGGCGAGGGTGGAACAATTTGGTGATACTCTTCTCTCACACCAGGAGTGAGTAGCACAGCCACATCAGTTGCTGCCGACGATTCCAAGGGATCCGGATTAGCGCCGTCAATGATTTGGTCGAGGGGCAATCTTGGAGCAGCATCACTGTTGGTGTGTGGACATCTAGGAGTGACCTTCGTTGAAACCTGTAAATTTGAGTGAGAAAAATTAGGGGTGACGGCCATGGTTTTTTGGACCGCCACAGATAAAACTGTATCATATGAATCTAATAGTTCTTCTTCCAGGTACAGTTTCAGCCTGTTCAGGCCAGCTTGAAGCTGCTGCTCTGGAGTTGGCGTGCGGACCTCGGATGGTAGTAGCGGGCTCATAATAAGCCTCTGGATGTACTCTGGCTGAAACCTGATGATATGGGCCATGTCTACACGGCTAATCGTGCCACTCCTGACTGACCGTGACATGTTGTTGACCCAGTCCATCGACGGCCTTTCCTGGGGTACGCCGGTCGCTAACGCTAGTTCCTGTTTTTGCCTAGCCTGGCTTTCACGTTGTTCTATGCGCAGCTGTGCTTGCTGTAGATTACGCTGTTCGTGTTCGTGTTCGTGTTCTTGTTGTTTAAGGCGAATTAGAGTTGGAATTTGCTGCTGAAGTGTTGCCGGTGTAAACCTTTCCTCAAGATGATTAAAAAATGTTTCAGTCTTTTCCTCATTTGGATTTTTTCAGTTTGGTGCCGGTGAGACGGTCACAAGTAAGACCACTCTGCCTATATGAATAGGTGTGTGGCTTAGTATTTATTTCAGCTCGTTATATACGTTAGCTATATATAAATAGTATTTAGTGGCGTTAGCAGAGGCCTTTACAATAGTAGGCTTTAAGAGTATTTTAACAGTAGTAACATAAAAATATCTTAAAAATAAATACTGAGTATGTTAACAGGTTTTTTTTAAAATACTTGGAACTGTGACTAAACACGACAATTTATCGCTATCGAAATATTCTTATAGAAATAGTTGGCTTTAAGAGCTTTGTTTAACAGTGTTAACATAAAAAATAAATGCTGAATGTTTTAACAGGTTTTAAATACATGGAATTGTGACTAAACGCGACAAATTATTACTATCAAAATATTCTTATAGGAACTGTTAACTGTGAGGTGTGACCAAAAATGCCTGAGTATCGATGTCAAGAGTCACTGCCGCGAATATCGATAGTGGCCTTAGTGACCCGATATCGCGGCATGACAATCGAAAAAAGCCAGCATGGCTGGTTTGTTTACATTTTTAGAATTTACAAGTTTGCTAATAAAAATTTTCTTTTCAGGTATTTCGCGGCTTTCTGCCAACAGGATTTGGAGTTGCCGCATCCACAGGAAGACGTCCAGTGTTGATGGAGGTGTACCAGCCAGCGGAGTCGGCGGAGTTAAGTAGCAGCCAGTTTCCAATCCACAGGGGAGAAAGTATCGTCAGAGTTTTTTGCACGCTGTAACTTACAAGTCCTTTCCTCTCGTACTAGGGGTGGTTGTTGCAGCACGTGTCAGCCTCATTCAAAGCCTCTGGAGAGTCCGGATTAATGTGGTTGGATACAGCCAGCTGTAGATTAGCGACGCCAACTTCAGGAGAGTCCACCGTCGGTTGTTGGCTAATTTGCCACTGAGTTTGCTGTGAATACTGGATGCACACTGACCCCAAGGGAGCAGTGGCAGAAGGAGCTGGTCCAGCTGGATGTGATAAGGACTCATGAGAGCAGGAGGCGCTAATCAAGGATGTAGTGGAGACCAGTTCTTTAGCGACTTCAAAACAACCCGAACCAGTGGCCGCGGAGGATCCAGTAAAGTCAGCTCGGGGCAAACCAGTTGTAGAGCATTCAGCAGTACTGCCCAAGGAGTCCAGAGGTGCAGAAACTGGAGTGTCGTTGTAAACAGTGCGTTTTTGTACGTGTGGTCGCATGTTACTAATTAAAGTCTTTTTTCCCTCGCCAGGTGGAATCATCTCGTCTATCTGCAGATTTGACCGCTTGTCTGCGTTGGAGCCGGAGCCCGCAGCTGTACCGGATTCAGCTGATGAGTTTGGAGAGTCCGGGCTAGCGCTGCTGTTGTTTTTTGGCGGCAGCAGATTTCGGAGCATAGAATCCAGTACCAAGGGAGATTGCAGTCAGCTGTTGGAGAGTAGTTTGTCGCAGTTCCTGTGTGTGATGAGTCCAGTTTGGCCCCATTTCTGTTGTCCCAGACAGCGGGCGAGCTATAAAGGCTTCGAGAACGCTTGGAGCTGCAGCTTGGTGATGAGTAGTGGGCGAGGGTGGAACAATTTGGTGATACTCTTCTCTCACACCAGGAGTGAGTAGCACAGCCACATCAGTTGCTGCCGACGATTCCAAGGGATCCGGATTAGCGCCGTCAATGATTTGGTCGAGGGGCAATCTTGGAGCAGCATCACTGTTGGTGTGTGGACATCTAGGAGTGACCTTCGTTGAAACCTGTAAATTTGAGTGAGAAAAATTAGGGGTGACGGCCATGGTTTTTTGGACCGCCACAGATAAAACTGTATCATATGAATCTAATAGTTCTTCTTCCAGGTACAGTTTCAGCCTGTTCAGGCCAGCTTGAAGCTGCTGCTCTGGAGTTGGCGTGCGGACCTCGGATGGTAGTAGCGGGCTCATAATAAGCCTCTGGATGTACTCTGGCTGAAACCTGATGATATGGGCCATGTCTACACGGCTAATCGTGCCACTCCTGACTGACCGTTTCAGTTTGGTGCCGGTGAAACGGTCACAAGTAAGACCACTCTGCCTATATGAATAGGTGTGTGGCTTAGTATTTATTTCAGCTCGTTATATACGTTAGCTATATATAAATAGTATTTAGTGGCGTTAGCAGAGGCCTTTACAATAGTAGGCTTTAAGAGTATTTTAACAGTAGTAACATAAAAATATCTTAAAAATAAATACTGAGTATGTTAACAGGTTTTTTAAAATACTTGGAACTGTGACTAAACACGACAATTTATCGCTATCGAAATATTCTTATAGAAATAGTTGGCTTTAAGAGCTTTGTTTAACAGTGTTAACATAAAAAATAAATGCTGAATGTTTTAACAGGTTTTAAATACATGGAATTGTGACTAAACGCGACAAATTATTACTATCAAAATATTCTTATAGGAACTGTTAACTGTGAGGTGTGACCAAAAATGCCTGAGTATCGATGTCAAGAGTCACTGCCGCGAATATCGATAGTGGCCTTAGTGACCCGATATCGCGGCATGACAATCGAAAAAAGCCAGCATGGCTGGTTTGTTTACATTTTTAGAATTTACAAGTTTGCTAATAAAAATTTTCTTTTCAGGTATTTCGCGGCTTTCTGCCAACAGGATTTGGAGTTGCCGCATCCACAGGAAGACGTCCAGTGTTGATGGAGGTGTACCAGCCAGCGGAGTCGGCGGAGTTAAGTAGCAGCCAGTTTCCAATCCACAGGGGAGAAAGTATCGTCAGAGTTTTTTTTTTTGCACGCTGTAACTTACAAGTCCTTTCCTCTCGTACTAGGGGTGGTTGTTGCAGCACGTGTCAGCCTCATTCAAAGCCTCTGGAGAGTCCGGATTAATGTGGTTGGATACAGCCAGCTGTAGATTAGCGACGCCAACTTCAGGAGAGTCCACCGTCGGTTGTTGGCTAATTTGCCACCGAGTTTGCTGTGAATACTGGATGCACACTGACCCCAAGGGAGCAGTGGCAGAAGGAGCTGGTCCAGCTGGATGTGATAAGGACTCATGAGAGCAGGAGGCGCTAATCAAGGATGTAGTGGAGACCAGTTCTTTAGCGACTTCAAAAAAGCCCGAACCAGTGGCCGCGGAGGATCCAGTAAAGTCAGCTCGGGGCAAACCAGTTGTAGAGCATTCAGCAGTACTGCCCAAGGAGTCCAGAGGTGCAGAAACTGGAGTGTCGTTGTAAACAGTGCGTTTTTGTACGTGTGGTCGCATGTTACTAATTAAAGTCTTTTTTCCCTCGCCAGGTGCAAGTATCTCGTCTATCTGCAGATTTGACCGCTTGTCTGCGTTGGAGCTGGAGCCCGCAGCTGTACCTGATTCAGCTGATGAGTTTGGAGAGTCCGGGCTAGCGCTGCTATTGTTTTTGGCGGCAGCAGATTTCGGAGCATAGAATCCAGTACCAAGGGAGATTGCAGTCAGCTGTTGCAGAGTAGTTTGTCGCAGTTCCTGTGTGTGATGAGTCCAGTTTGGCCCCATTTCTGTTGTCCCAGACAGCGGGCGAGCTGTAAAGGCTTCAAGAACGCTTGGAGCTGCAGCTTGGTGATGAATAGTGGGCGAGGGTGGAACAATTTGGTGGTATTCTTCTCTCACACCAGGAGTGAGTAGCACAGCCACATCAGTTGCTGCAGACGATTCCAAGGGAACCGGACTAGCGCCGTCAATGATTTGGTCGAGGGGCAATCTTGGAGCAGCATCACTGTTGGTGTGTGGACATCTAGGAGTGACCTTCGTTGAAACCTGTAAATTTGAGTGAGAAAAATTAGGGGTGACGGCCATGGTTTTTTGGACCGCCACAGATAAATCTGTATCATATGAATCTAATAGTTCTTCTTCCAGGTACAGTTTCAGCCTGTTCAGGCCAGCTTGTAGCTGCTGCTCTGGAGTTGGCGTGCGGACCTCGGATGGTAGAAGCGGGCTCATAATAAGCCTCTGGATGTACTCTGGCTGAAACCTGATGATATGGGCCATGTCTACACGGCTAATCGTGCCACTCCTGACTGACCGTGACATGTTGTTGACCCAGTCCATCGACGGCCTTTCCTGGGGTACGCCGGTCGCTAACGCTAGTTCCTGTTTTTGCCTAGCCTGGCTTTCACGTTGTTCTATGCGCAGCTGTGCTTGCTGTAGATTACGCTGTTCGTGTTCGTGTTCGTGTTCTTGTTGTTTAAGGCGAATTAGAGTTGGAATTTGCTGCTGAAGTGTTGCCGGTGTAAACCTTTCCTCAAGATGATTAAAAAATGTTTCAGTCTTTTCCTCATTTGGATTTTTTCAGTTTGGTGCCGGTGAGACGGTCACAAGTAAGACCACTCTGCCTATATGAATAGGTGTGTGGCTTAGTATTTATTTCAGCTCGTTATATACGTTAGCTATATATAAATAGTATTTAGTGGCGTTAGCAGAGGCCTTTACAATAGTAGGCTTTAAGAGTATTTTAACAGTAGTAACATAAAAATATCTTAAAAATAAATACTGAGTATGTTAACAGGTTTTTTAAAATACTTGGAACTGTGACTAAACACGACAATTTATCGCTATCGAAATATTCTTATAGAAATAGTTGGCTTTAAGAGCTTTCAGTTTGGTGCCGGTGAGACGGTCACAAGTAAGACCACTCTGCCTATATGAATAGGTGTGTGGCTTAGTATTTATTTCAGCTCGTTATATACGTTAGCTATATATAAATAGTATTTAGTGGCGTTAGCAGAGGCCTTTACAATAGTAGGCTTTAAGAGTATTTTAACAGTAGTAACATAAAAATATCTTAAAAATAAATACTGAGTATGTTAACAGGTTTTTTTAAAATACTTGGAACTGTGACTAAACACGACAATTTATCGCTATCGAAATATTCTTATAGAAATAGTTGGCTTTAAGAGCTTTGTTTAACAGTGTTAACATAAAAAATAAATGCTGAATGTTTTAACAGGTTTTAAATACATGGAATTGTGACTAAACGCGACAAATTATTACTATCAAAATATTCTTATAGGAACTGTTAACTGTGAGGTGTGACCAAAAATGCCTGAGTATCGATGTCAAGAGTCACTGCCGCGAATATCGATAGTGGCCTTAGTGACCCGATATCGCGGCATGACAATCGAAAAAGCCAGCATGGCTGGTTTGTTTACATTTTTAGAATTTACAAGTTTGCTAATAAAAATTTTCTTTTCAGGTATTTCGCGGCTTTCTGCCAACAGGATTTGGAGTTGCCGCATCCACAGGAAGACGTCCAGTGTTGATGGAGGTGTACCAGCCAGCGGAGTCGGCGGAGTTAAGTAGCAGCCAGTTTCCAATCCACAGGGGAGAAAGTATCGTCAGAGTTTTTTGCACGCTGTAACTTACAAGTCCTTTCCTCTCGTACTAGGGGGTGGTTGTTGCAGCACGTGTCAGCCTCATTCAAAGCCTCTGGAGAGTCCGGATTAATGTGGTTGGATACAGCCAGCTGTAGATTAGCGACGCCAACTTCAGGAGAGTCCACCGTCGGTTGTTGGCTAATTTGCCACTGAGTTTGCTGTGAATACTGGATGCACACTGACCCCAAGGGAGCAGTGGCAGAAGGAGCTGGTCCAGCTGGATGTGATAAGGACTCATGAGAGCAGGAGGCGCTAATCAAGGATGTAGTGGAGACCAGTTCTTTAGCGACTTCAAAACAACCCGAACCAGTGGCCGCGGAGGATCCAGTAAAGTCAGCTCGGGGCAAACCAGTTGTAGAGCATTCAGCAGTACTGCCCAAGGAGTCCAGAGGTGCAGAAACTGGAGTGTCGTTGTAAACAGTGCGTTTTTGTACGTGTGGTCGCATGTTACTAATTAAAGTCTTTTTCCCTCGCCAGGTGGAATCATCTCGTCTATCTGCAGATTTGACCGCTTGTCTGCGTTGGAGCCGGAGCCCGCAGCTGTACCGGATTCAGCTGATGAGTTTGGAGAGTCCGGGCTAGCGCTGCTGTTGTTTTTTGGCGGCAGCAGATTTCGGAGCATAGAATCCAGTACCAAGGGAGATTGCAGTCAGCTGTTGGAGAGTAGTTTGTCGCAGTTCCTGTGTGTGATGAGTCCAGTTTGGCCCCATTTCTGTTGTCCCAGACAGCGGGCGAGCTATAAAGGCTTCGAGAACGCTTGGAGCTGCAGCTTGGTGATGAGTAGTGGGCGAGGGTGGAACAATTTGGTGATACTCTTCTCTCACACCAGGAGTGAGTAGCACAGCCACATCAGTTGCTGCCGACGATTCCAAGGGATCCGGATTAGCGCCGTCAATGATTTGGTCGAGGGGCAATCTTGGAGCAGCATCACTGTTGGTGTGTGGACATCTAGGAGTGACCTTCGTTGAAACCTGTAAATTTGAGTGAGAAAAATTAGGGGTGACGGCCATGGTTTTTTGGACCGCCACAGATAAAACTGTATCATATGAATCTAATAGTTCTTCTTCCAGGTACAGTTTCAGCCTGTTCAGGCCAGCTTGAAGCTGCTGCTCTGGAGTTGGCGTGCGGACCTCGGATGGTAGTAGCGGGCTCATAATAAGCCTCTGGATGTACTCTGGCTGAAACCTGATGATATGGGCCATGTCTACACGGCTAATCGTGCCACTCCTGACTGAC